TTTATAGAATCTAATCCCTTCATATCGTAAAAATCTTATTAATACGAAAATTTATGATCTCTTTATCCTTGTCGCGAACTTTCCAATTTTCAAAGATTGTGCTTTATTATCAAAAGCAATATAAATTTTTTATAAAAATCTCATCAAGTGCTCTCCATTTGAAAATTTATACACGTGTTTTTGTACACGTGTCGCGCTCGTAGTGGAAATCGAGCAGCGAATTTTTAATAGGCGACATTGCTGCTTGTTTGCGGGAAGTAGGTCGATTACGGTGAGATTGTACACGAGCTAAATTACGGCATCGCATTTAGGATGGCGTTCCTAATTAATTAAGTATATCGGAGAAAATTCGTCTTCTAAGATGTTTGTAACGAGGTGCTTTGCGGGAGCAAAAAACCTCAGAAAACTTAATAGCATAGGAAAAACAGCTCTTTGTCCGTTTGATTCGCTTAGTATACAATACGGCAAATTTCCCTCGAATTTACTCGCCATTAATCGCCAAGTTTGATTTCATTGTTTGTATCGGTTGTAAAATCACGATATCCCGATCGGCGTAGTTCCGTTGAATGCAGCGAAATATCGAAACACATATTGAATTCTCATGGACTTCGCGAATACTTCGAATAAAAGTTTTCATTTTTGAATACCAATGCTGTTAGCGAAAGTTTCTTCTTCCTTTTCTTCCCGTCACTCCTTTCTTATTGGAGCACGTACTTGTAACATTCTTATCGAAGGCGTTACTGCGGAATGAACTAACCGATCGAATCGAGATTTCGGGCGAAGCAAAAAAAGCACATCGAGCGGTCGTCGAAGCCCGGGGATTTGGTCTTTTTACGATAAGAAGGACGACGTTCGATAATCCGTTAGAGTAACGACTCCTTTTAGGATCAATGACGATAGCTCTATGAACGATCATTTCTTTGTGAACTATGATAGAATTATTAATAATGATTATTTTTTAGAAGAAATTATATATACTTTTATTTATATATGAATTTATTAGATTATTAGATTATTATTAAAAGTATTAGTTATATCAATTGCCCGAGTATCAACATTATTGCACTCGAGCATTCGAAATCGATTTGCTAGTTGAAAACTTGAAATTATCTTTGTAATATATTATTAATCCAATATTAACTTCGAAATTACTAGACAATATAAAGTTACAGTTGCGTAGGAAATACGATTCAATTAATAGTTAAAATTGATTTACTTTCGGTTATTCGAGCACAGGTATTTCAAGAAGTTTCTGTCTTGATAGATACTTATTTAAAGACTATAATAATTATATTTTTTATTGCTTTATTACTTCGTCGAAATATAAAATATCATTAAAAGAAAAACTTTGATGTATTTATATCGCATTGCTAGCTCTGAAATTCTATGAACTTAAGCCCATTTATTTTTCTTTATTTTTTTTCATATTATTGACATTTCTCTCTCTCTCTGCGCATGCTTATCAACTCTCCAATTTCGATACCATTACCACTAACTAAATCGTATTCGCGAGTGCACGTATGCAATTCGGAATTAGTTAGATCCGTTATGACGTGCTTCACAATATTCGAGCGTATCTTCGGGAGTAAGCTTAAATCTGTGTGTTGCGTCATATAACGTTCTTAAACTCATATCAAAGAGAAATTGGGACGCTGCAAACTTGTTCGAGCGAGTATTTTATACACAGTGACAGAAATGCGACGTCGTTAGTTAAACTTAATCCTGCGGCGCAAATATTGAAGCCGAATACAAAATTGCGGACTAGGACGGAACGAAGCGGCTTTCGATCTTAAGCAGCATCGTTTGAATAAAACATCAATCCCGAGTAAACGTGAGGGGTCGCGAGGTATCGAGTTTTACAATTTACGTCCCGCATACTTAACCGCAGCCTCATGTATAAATTATGGCTAATCGTATTAAGCGGTAGCCGACTCAGCTGCTCGGAAGGAGCATCTCCGATCGTAATTAACGCCCGTAACTTCGACGACACGATGACACGATAGACGCAAATCTCCCCGCCAACTCGCAACACGAATTATCACAGCCTCGAGAGAGACTTTATTTCTTCAAATGCATCGAAAATTGATTTATGGAATCGGAAATAAAAAGAAAAAAATACTGACGCATTTGAAAATTGAAGCACGCAGTGGTCATAAAGTTACTATTTAATATAGAAGATATTATTATTATGTACGAATTATTTTCAGAATATTCTATGTTCCATATATATATACATAGGCTCACGCATACTTGCGTGTTTGCGTTCGCACATTGCACGTTGATCTTTTCCGTTGGTTTTTTTTTCTCATTTCGACACGCGTGCCATCGAACGATGTAGAACATCTACGTTTTTCAATTTCTTAATGGATACTGCATGTTATTCAACGGCGATCATTCAGCCGAGCTTGAAAATTGCGGGCGCAAAGCATATCAAGAAATCGATACGTTTACTGAGTCACTCGGTAACATGTATATCCGTTTTTATAGTATTGCTTACACGATAGCAGGAATTCATTTCATAACGATATTACAAAACATATGATTACATCTTGTCTGGACAAACTGTAAATTAAACTTGATGCGCATCGCATTTCGATACTAGCCGGTCGAGTTTTTGAAATATAAAGAAGAGTAAAAATGCAAAATAGGAGAATAATATTAATGATGTATATAACGTTCAGTTTATGAAAAAAAATAGTCAATTTATCTTTAGAAATATTTAGATAGACTTTTGACTGTCTGTAAAACGTCACTTTATTTACATAAAATAAGGATACGGTGTTGCAAACGTCACATTATTACATCCTCATGTCATATCTACGGAGCGAATATACGTGTCAGACTACGCAAAGTACGACGCTATAGTAGATGATGCATGATGAAGCGCATAAATGCGAACAAAACGCAAAAGAACGTCGAGAAAGATATGAATAGTGGCCACCAGAGTGATGGATCTAATACACCGCAGTGTATTATTTAATAAAAAGTTACAACCTTTTTATAGAGCAGGCTATACAATTTTGATGTACACATCCATGTCTATATATTATAGGCACGAAACTATCAAAATATAATCATAGCTATTTATAGCTATTGTTGTCATTATTCTTTGTATATTATCATTTAAATATATGTTAGTAAGAAAAAATGCAAGAAAAAGAAATTAGAATAATAATTTAATCTTGCATTTTATATTGATATGGATATAAATTATCTTTTAAATTTTATCTTAATCTCTTTAAATCTTTTTCTGCAATTATGACCAGTTTATAATCTAAAAGAAAATAGTATTTAAGAAGTAATAAATATTCTACACATTATACGCGATGATGAAATTGATTAAGATATAACATATGAACTTAATTATGCTTAACTATGATTAACGATTATTGATTATATTTAAATGATTCTTCAGTTTTGCTCTTAATAAAAGTAGCTTAGCTGCAAATGATACATCTTGCAACAAGTAAAATCAGTTGCGCGAGACTTTATGAGACTCGGGAGAAACCATGCTGTGACGCGAGTAGTTGCGGTCTGATGATAGTCAGACCGCGCGGTTGTAAAAGCGTTCGAACAGGTTGTCTCCGGCACGATATTACGTCGACGACACTACTGCATCCGTGTTTATGGCTTACGACTAAATAACGCGACTTGCACTTTGAAGCTGGCTGCGCTCATGGCAAGATCTTCACTCTTTTTCGCGAGATACGACAATACGATGCTTTTTCCGATTCGTAAAATCGCGCTCGTGAAATTCGTTGGTTTCATACACATCACGTCGTAATCTTTGAAACATTTATAAAAATATTAATACTTGTATATGTAATAGTATATATATATATATATATATATATATATATATATAAAACAAATCGTATATCCATAATAATGGAATATATTAATAGTTGTGAAATTCATATAAAAAAATGGCTCGTAGATATTGAGAATTACACGCAATTAATAATTAACTATTATTGTTCTATTTAATTGGATTAGTCGTATTTATTATTATCCGGGATATAGAACGCCCGGGATGTAAACTTGTCGTGGTATGAGCATAAATACTATGAGCATCTGTTTTGTTATTACAAATCATGATATTGAATAAATACAAAGCCGTCGAGTGGAGAATTTATGATACCGCTTGCAATTTACAGGCGCATCGATTCGATCTCGTGCATCGCCTTAACGTACAAAAATTTTTCCCAATGTTATCGCAGTACCGCAACAACGCTCGCTGTATTTGCCCAGCAGTGTTTATCGAACGGAAAAATATGCTCATGGCAATTCCGGTAATGGTCGCGGGCGGATTCGCGCGCGTTGCTCCGCGCTGTAAAAACTACTCCACGCGAACGAACACGTCTGTCGAATGTACGCTTTTTAAACCGCTGTACACATTTCACCCAACGTTGTTGTATTTCGCAACAACATTTGCCAGGTCATTCTTTGTATGCGTTCTCCCTAGATTCGTGCGAGCGACGTTTGTCGATCTACGGATGAATACATACGCGCCCGTTACCCTCTTACTCCGTGCTCTAACTCTCCAACCGTATGTATTTTTTTTGCTTTTTTCGGGATTCGCATGACACGCGTGTTTGCTCTCTTTGAGAAGAGAAACAGAATTTTTATTAAAATTATATCACGATATATTCGCGTAATATATGTTGCGTCAGATAAATCATCGTTTACCCAAAATTGAATAATACAGTCGCATCCGAAATGGCGCGTGCTTTACGAGATCGAATCTCGTTAGTTTATTTCATTTGATTAATATCATCGTCTAATAACATTTATCTAAAATGTTTTATTTATCTGGAATGTTTATAGACTTTTTCGGAATGACGCTGAAATATCAATTAGATATAACAAAATTTTATTATATATAGCTATATAATTTTTTTTTATTTTATGAACTCTCTATTTATCTGACTTCTCAAGAAAACAATTTAATTATAAATATTGAATAATTTTCTATCTATAAGTTCCTGATACTTCCTTACCATGCAGTAGCATGAAGGGGATGAAAACGCAGATCATTTTGAAAGGTTTGCACCGACCGGTTCCATTGCCGCTATATTGTAAATCCATTCCGAGTGCTTTCACAGTCCATCGTTTCCGATACATTTCACGTCAACCGCTTCTTCAAAGCTGCAACAGTCGACCGAGGGCGACGTACTTTCCTGGTAAGCAATAAAAAGGAATTCACTTTGCTCACTGACAGTTTCCAACACTTGCCACTTGGCCGTATTATTTCCGTCAATCGTTGATAATATCTCGCACAACTGTTTTACAAATAAAGAGGCGTTTATAGATCGAATGAAGATTATTCTTCTCTTAAGTTCTCGCGAAAATATAAATAACGATAAAATAATTCATGAAATATAGAGCAAAATAAAAATGTTCTATTTTCTTGGTTTGATTAAAGTTACGTATATAAAAGACATTTCTTTAAATGTTAAATGATCAGCGTGATAAAAATTAATGTGAGAAAATCATCGTCGCTGTAATTAGATTATATCTCGTATTATACGCAACGATATACTTTCCCGAATTATGCAACGAGCCATCACGCGCGAGTGTATGCAATTACTCGGGAAAGTAATTACTTCCGCCGCTATTACGATTTCAAACACCGACGGCAAAAATGAGGGAGGAGAGTGTTTAATCGCGTTGCGTGCATGATGTCATTTCTATCGCGCTGCTGAAAAGTGTACGTGCTATTTGTTTTCGTGTGAACCATGCGAGTAGCGAGATCAACAATATGTGGACCAAATGCGCGGCATATGCTACCGGTCCTTCGATAAGTTTACATTAAGTGACGCGCTGCGGAATGCTCGATTGAAAACGAACGTGATATGGTTTCAATTGAATTCGCGCATCCATTACCCGATCGGGTGTTACTGCCAGCAAATCATAATCGACAGAACTAATTCGGTATGCACACAACACGGCTAGGGATATTAATTTCACTTGTCATTGGATTTCAGTGAATACGTCCGTATCCGCATACAAGGTAGACAGTGATATAAACTGATCTTGCTGCAATGAGGCTGAATAGATAGTTTAATCGAAGACTATTCAACTACATTGTCGAACATTGTAGAATTATCAGTATGATGATTTGGCTTTGATATATATATTTCGATAATACGTATATTTGAATGATACATAGCAAATAATCAAAAACTGAAGAGAGATTAGGTTCTGATATGAATGTATTCAATATTGCAGAATATTCAAAAATATTTATTCAGACTAAGTATTTCGTTTTTAAATATATAAACTTGTATATCGCGTAGATTTACGATATTAATGGATTTGAAGAACGTAACTCAAACGAGGAAATTTTTTTGAGGAATGAATCAAATTACCTGAGAGCACACAAACTACGTTTCACGAATACGGAGTAGAATGGATTTTCAAAATAACGATTTATACATACGCGCGACGTTTCCCACGAAATATTCACGAGATATCGACCACGCTGAAGCGGTCACGTGCTCGCTTCTTTTACGATTCATTGTTTTCGTTCTTCTTGCGCGTGAAAAATTTGCACGTGCATCCATAAATCCACGGAGAACACTCATAACTAATAAAACGTAATTAACAAAGAGCAGTTTCACAGCAGGTGTCAGTTTAACTTACACAGTCGAATTCTCGCGTCTAATATTTGAAATCGCACTTTGTCGGAATCATACCACTGAATGCACCGTTCGTTACCAAGAGGAAACATTTCACAAATCTGTCTTCACATGCAGCGGGTACACCTTTTTGGTCTTATCAGCTATCATGAATGAACGACCGAGCGACAAGACTCGCGCAATCACAGAGAGAGAACCGACGCGTCACTAAATCCTTCCAGCGCAGCTGGTCCATACTTCCACGTGGGCGACTGCAACTCTCGCCCGAGGTGCATCTTCGGGGGGATCCGGTGTCGCCGGTGGGTGACGTACGATCGTTGCGAAAGGGCTAGGAGGAACCGCGCGCCACTTCCGTCCCTCTAAAATGCCGTTCATTCATCATGTTGCACTCACACTAACTCGCCGCGCCGCGAACACCTTCACTCACAGGAGCAGCAGAGGGAGGCGGAGGGGTGTTGTGCACCCGATGTCGTATATGCACCGTTCGCGAAAGGACGATAGGTGGGAAAACGGGGGGTATAACGGGGGGAGGTCGACCGAAGAGGTCGCGGGGTAGGTAGGGAGCGATAAGGGGGTAGGGAGCGAGAGGGAGAGATAGGTGCGTAAAGAGACCGGTGGGCGAAATGCTACCGTGGTGGAGACCGCGACCCAACTGCGCCAGCGCTTAGCTAGATATCAGCCCCCGACCACCGACGTCAACTCTTACCACCACCCCCCGCCGCGATGCCCAACCATGCCAGCTTTCACCCACCCGCGTGCCACCCCTTGTGCGCACCGTCATAGTCCCACCGTCGCGTCGTCGGATGGTTGATTGTGAGGACGGCTAGCGTTCGCGCGATGGCATTTCCATTACTACCTCGAGCGAGCATTGTCATCGATGACTTTTATGTCGCGCTGGCCGTGGCCACGCGTCGCTATTCTTGTCCTGCAGAGTTATTAAGGTTGTTAACGAGGGTAAAAGCGCGTGTAGGACTACTGCCGTTATTGCCTGTCTCGAGCTTGCCAATGCTGTCCGCGATATTTAACGCCGGCGCTAGAAACGGTACGGTATCGACGTTGAAATAAAATTTATTGGCTTGGCTCGGAAATACTTCGGACATTGCAATTTTCGGTGAATGTAATGCTTTTTCAATGGCTTGTTATTTTGGCAGCTTTGGCAATTGCACTTACACGTGATATAAACATGATATAAACGTATTGAAGTTATGTATGTCTGTAATATTACTCTCGTAAAATCCAGAGATTGAGATATTCGATTTATTATTATATATTCCCTAATACAATCCCATTGTTACAATTGTAAAATACGATAGCAATATTTTTACAAAATGTTAGATTACAATTCAACGATATCGTGATAAATTTTTTATATTAGGATTTATTATAATAAAAATCGCTGATATCATTGGTATTGTCATATTTTCAATTGCAATATTTTTACAATTATTTTTATTATTGAAGATTTTTTGTATTGTGTCAAGCTTAAATTTAAATTTTAATATAACATTATAATTTATTGATATCAATGATTTTTTAGTTTTTTAATCTTTAATTTTTTATTAATAAATCAACCATATTTAGCGCCGATATTAAAGATCGTATATGCAATGACATTTATCATATTAATACTTGAAAATATCGACGGAGATATTCTCGTTATATTTTTCTATCCTTACCAATCTCTTTATACAATTCTATTGCTAAGTTTAGAAACCTTATTAATATCAGTCAATTATAACTTTTTATATTAAAATTATAATTAAAATTAAATTTAATTTACAATATGAAAAATGATAATAATAGTAAGGCTATTTTGTAACTTTATAGTAGATAGCAATTTTTATATTTTCAGAGATTTTAATTTTATTATTGAGATAATTATTACAATCGTTGAGAATCTTCATTATCATTGCTTTTTATCATGTTTATATATTGTTATATATTAAATGAAATATTATTCCTTTTATTAATACAACGATCGCGATGAATACTTTATTCTTCAAAGCGAATTATCTCTTTTTATATCATATTCCCGATTTATATTGCTGGAAAATTACAGACTCTTGCGAAGCCAGCGACTTAAAAGTTTTCCCAATAATTTTCTGAATACTAAATTCTTTCTCATCGATTATCCGCGTTTTATTCAACTTCATTTTCTTGTTGTTTTCACTGGATTTTTCCAGTTAGGCATTTGAAGATGTCTTCGTGTAAAGTGCAGAACGGTATTTTCGCTCGAATACTTCGAGGAAGGTAGCGTGTTAAAAAAACATGTCTCTCCCTCGGTATCGTATCGATCATCGATGTCTTAGAGGTCTCGATTCAGCCGCCCTCGATCCGCGTTCACGGCGCAGTGCACAGCCGTAAACTCGTAAATACCGAAATATGGGTAAAGGCGTTCGAGCGAGGGCATGGAGCAATTTTCGTTGTATCTTGCAATTTTTATGCAGTTGCAAATGGTTGTATATGGCCCGCCTAGAAGGCAAAGCACGCTTCGCAGGTGTTTGCAACTTGGGTGTGCCGTGCGATGATGACCTCGTTAAAATGCCTTTTAATCTCGTATCAAAACCTTCGGTGACTCTCTTGCGCAAGATAGAATTTTTTCCCGATATATATTTTCTTCTTGGTAATAAACGCATCGACATAAAACATGGATTTTTTTTACTTCTAAAAAAATAAAAATAAAAAAGATGATCGACAGATTTT